TCCCGCAAATGCTGTTTAGTTGGCACAAAACTCGACATCTTTATTGTTAGAAAAAAATTTTTGCGTTGCGATATGTGTTGGTATTATAACTGGTTATTGTTGACAGATGTCCAAGTTAATAAAAAACACAACTTTAGACATGTATATCGACTACATGTATCGTTAGCGCCATTCATGTGTGAAACCCGGAAACTTAGTTGCGCACCTAGTATATATATGACGTTGTAATTTATGTATAAATTTGTAATTCAGATTGTGTGTTATGTTTTTTATACTATAATATCTGCTACATTGTACAGAGATAATATAATATTCTTCTTTTAAAACCCTTATTAAATCTTTAAAACAAGTCCCACAAAACTTCTTAATTAAATTTTATTTCAAATGTTAAGAATAAACAACATATTCCGCTTGATGAAGAAGAAGGTAAAACAAAATTTTTTAAAAATGTAAAAAAACGCAAATAAAAAGAATGAATTAACACCGTTAGATGGCAGAAAAATTTGTCGCTTCTAGAAACTTAAAAGTCTCTATAACCTCTATAGTTGCTTTTAAACGGCGGGACGTTTAAAATTTACGAAAACGATTTTTGCAATTATTGTCGAGATTTTCAAGATTTACGAGATTTTATTTTCACACGGTGTTTCTACTCGTTTAAAGGAATAGAAAACCGTCATTTACTAAAAAATCGTGAACAATTCACGACAATAATTAACTTACTTGACGCGAATATAGCGCATGTGGTGCTACGCGAAATAGTATAAAGTGCAGTGTGTGGACCACTGACACTTTGAGGTTATGTCGCGCGATAAATATTCTCGATTTTCGTAAAAATTTGCGATGTCGTTGCCGAAAATCCCGTGGGAGGACTTGACGGGCGACTGCCCGATCGTTTTGGAACTGGCGAGACATTTTCGGGCAGAAAATAAGAGCGGCATCGCCACTTGCCTCGCCCAGCTCAAGAATGATCCAAAGCTGCGTAAGGAGTTCACTAAGCAAGCAAATAATCTCTGTATTCTTGCTCAGCTTCTACGCTGCCAAAATCATGCAATCCTAAACATGAGTCTGAGCATACTTGCAGATGCCTGCATAGCTTTCGAAGCCAGGGAAAAGGTATGTTTCTTTTCCTATTCTCATTTTGAGAGCATATTTAATTGCAAAGTTGATGTTGCGGATCAGGGGCGTAGTTAGAACTTTGGCTCTGGGAGCACAAAAATATGATTCTTTTTCAAACCATTTAAAGAACCAATAATTTTTTTATAGTTTATTTAATATAATATAACATAGAAAATATGACGTAATAGTTAATTACTATTTTTAGAAATGTTTTATTATATGAGTATTATTTTAAAACAATAAATCTCTTGTTGATATATTCTCAATACCAATGCAATTTGAGTTTTATAATAAAATTGAATAGAAAATAGAATTTATGTTTAAATTATTTAGTTTACACGCAATATTTGTATGTTTGCATCATATATTATTCATTCACAAGATATATTTTTTGTTCTTTTCTATCATTAAATAAAACATGACATTTCAGGTACGGAGCAGCGAAATTGGATCCAATGTGGTGCTTATAATAAAAAACTCGAAATTAGATAACAGGCTGCACTGTCGTGCTTGCAGACTTGTTAGTAATTTGTCAGAATGCAGCTGGCATGCCAAAGTGTTATACAATACCGGTATAGTGGAAGCACTTAAAGAGCTTCTAATGTCAAAAACCAGTACACAAACTTATTGCATGGCGGTCAGAGCTGTAAGGTACGAAATTACTTATAATTTTATTGATATTCTTTCTTTTTAATAAGAATGTGACATTACAAACTTTATATAAATTGATGTCTAAAAGGAATTATTTGAGTTAAATGACGAATAAATTAAAATATATTTGATATACACTTATATTGCAATTATGAATTTCATTCCAATGACATTTGTAGGAACATTTGGAGCTTTTACGAGCAGAGCCGAGAGAAAATGATAGAGCACGAGATTATGAAGCTTGTTGCCCAAATATTTGTCATGGTCGAGAAGAAGTCCAGCGGGGATGCCAAGTACGTCGATCTCATAGATGCGTGCTTGAAAGCCATGTGCGCGTTCCTTGGGACTCTGGACCCGCGCTGTGGCATACAGATGGAAGTGGAGAAGAATAAACAGGGCTACAGATGCCTCATGCGGTGTTGCAGCATGAACAGTAACAAAATGGCTATCAAGTGCCTGTACGGTCTTTGCCAGATAGCGGAGTGCCGATTGCTGTTGGGCATTTCCGGTGCGGTCGAGGAACTCGTGACTCTGATCAACACTAAGCACCTGCACGAGGAAGTGCTGGTCAGCTTGTGCATGTTCTGCCGAGAATCGGTGAATCGGGACAGGATCAAGGACTGCAATGGATTGCAATTGATCCTGGCGCTGCTGAAGAAGCCCGAGCACGAGCGCTATCATCCTGTATTGCTGCAGGCGCTCGCGCAATTTCTCTACGACGACATCGCTATCGACATTTTGGTGAAGCACGGTATAGTGGAGATTTTGGTGGCGAAACTGACGAGCATCGCCGCGTCTGTGGACAGCAAGAAGAGTAATGCATCCAGGAAGCGCTACAGTGATTATCCACCGGAGAGCCAAAAGACACCTCTGAAGTACAACCGGATTTATTCAAGGTGAAAAAGATTGCATATTTGCTTTGACACTCGTAAAATATCAGCGAAATATCAGGCGTTGATTTTATAAAGTAATATCGAGAATTAATTGGTTCGACAACTCGTGCAGATTCAGCATGGATTATTATCGCGACGATTGGAGCCCGAGAAGCACGACGAGCGCTTCGTCCTCGTCGCCGCCCAGCACGCCGCCGTTACGCGTCTTTTCCGATTCTAATGCGGAGACCGACGACACCGAGGATGACATTTACAGTCCGATCTGCAGCGATACGGAATGCGGCGACAATGACGAGGGTAAATCATCTTCTTTCATTAGCTTCCTCGATATAAATTTTCCGTGTCAATCAAGTTCAAAATATATTCGAATGTTCCATTTACTTATCCAGATCAGTGTTTGTTGCAGAGGTGGAAATCGCTTCTCTGAAGAGCTGCAAGTCGCTCACAGTCGGCGAAGCGGATTCCGACGCGCCTTCATCAGACACCAAGATCCCCAGCAAGAATGTTTGCGAATACCACACGTTGCTGCTGTTGGGTAGTTTTTCCCTCAGGACCATCGACGGCCTGGCGGATCCGACAACCATTAATGCACTGATGACGTACATAACGGTGAATGTATTTCAAAAACGCCACAGATACTCGGCGATCAAGATATTGCATAGAATCATGAGGTAAGCTTTCTCAAATTTTACATTCTTTCGTTTTTTTTTTTCTAAATTCCGACTGATTCTCATCAAGCAGAATTTGTTCGTCGCACTCACGTTTCTCAATTCTCTTCAGGAACGCGGCGTACTTTACGTCGTTGTTGAAGCAAGGCTTGGTGTTCGAGATACAGACTCTGCCGGAATCGGAGGAGTGGACGCGGTGTTTGCGCACAGTGGCGGAGACCGGCGGCTCCATCGGCCATCTGTCATTCATGCTGCTGCGCGGCGAGGAGCAGCACAAGCTGCTGACCGCCGTGTCGATACCGCTTCTCATCAAGATACGTTCCACCCTCGAGCGTCTGCTGAACAAGTACGGCGGGCTGGAGCTGATATTCCGCTTGCTGGTGGACTCGTCGCACGACTGGCACGAGCGGGCAATCTGGTCGATCTGCCAGTTGGCGAAATCGCTGAAGATCGATCCGTTTGATGTCCGTCCGATTCCGTTAACGGCGGGCGCCGGCGAGCCACGCGACTACTCGCGACTGTCCCTCGAGGCGAGTCATCCGACGGCAACGGTCTCGTCGACGGTGACGTTCGAGCTGGACGACGGCACGACCGTCGAGGCGTGCAGGAAGATGCTGTGCTGCCGCTCGGACGTCTTCTCCGCCATGCTGGACGGCAATTTCAGCGAGTCGGGCAAGAAACGGGTGCGGCTGAAGAACACGTCGCGTGACGGCCTGATCACGCTGATCCTGGCGGCGACGGGCGCGGCGTTTGAGTATCAGAGCATCGAGTCGCTTCTCGACGCCGTGCTGCTGGCCGACAAGTTTCTCATGCCGGACTTGCTGGAAACGCTGACCGAGACCGCGATCGACAAGCTCAGTCACGAGAACTTCTGCCGCGTTTGGCGCTGGGCCAGGAAATACTCCTGCCACGAGTTGAGGTCTTGCTGCGTCAAGAGCTTCCTCGTCGCGAAGACGTCGTGGAGCGAGACGGTGCGGACGTTTCGCGACTTCAGCGCCACCGACGACTTCGGCGAGTTCCTGAACGAGATCCGGGAGATAATCGTCGGCGAGTTGTGCCAAGTTTAAAGACGTCGGACGATCCATGAATTCGGAATTAGTGCAATTTTACTATGAAAAAAAAATAATTCTTTAACCTCCCGAGTGAATCATCGAAGAGCAAATTCTAGGAATGAACGTAACATAATCTAACCGCCTGTCGCTAGTCTAATTTTACGCCGTTCGTTCTATTAAATTTTGTCGAGAGACTCTTCGCGCATGCTTAGTGCATTTTCAATTTTCGAAATTACTCGACGATTAAGACAGTATTGTCTTTATTAATTCTGTACATATTGCAATATAAATATTGTCGCTCTCACGCGAATCATTTGTACATAATAATAATAATAATAATAATAATAATAATAATAATAATATAAATGATATGAAACACTCAAAATCGTATTTCGCATTCAATCCTTCTCGTATTATCTACAAAATATCTTAAAAATATCACGAATTTCTATCATTGGCAAATCTTTTATTCGCTTCTTCGATAAGATAAGAATACTTCGCGTATGTACATTTCTTCGTATCGCAATGAAATTCTTTTCCCGCATGCGTTCAACGATTTCATACTTCTCTTTCCGTTAGCTTCAGCTGGATAGGCCTGGACGGTACGGAGATCAGATGCAGGATCATCTTTATGCTATCCCGATTCGTGCACTCGATTCTAAAGTTCTTGATGACCTGCGAGAAAACAGTAACAGCAACGAATCGTGAATTGGAATTACATTGAATCGATTCGATCGAACTTTGTCCCACCTGCGCTAGCGCGAGAGACATCTGCGTCTCCGCGAGCTTGCGACCGATGCAGCTTCTCACGCCCATCGCGAACGGCAGGGTGGCGTACGGATTTTTCACACCCTGATAGCCCTCCTTCGTCCTGATCCACCTTTCCGGCCGAAATTCGTTCGGCTCCGGAAAGTCGGTCTCGTCGCGACCGCTCGAATAAATCGACAGGAGAATTAAATCCTGGCGGGAGAGACATGAGCAGACAATTCGGAAGTGAACACTGCCGTTTCGGATAATTGCGATAACTCACCCCCTTCGATACGGAATAATCGCCGATCGTCGCGTCCGTCGGCAAATATCGCGTGAGAAACGGCGCGACCGGATGTAGCCGTAGCGCTTCTCGCCACACGCCCCTCAGCAAGCGGTGTCGCAGGACCTCTTCCGGTGACAGATCCCTGAGATCGTGGAACAGTTGCTCTTGCAGCTGGAAGCGACTGCTTAGCAGCAACAATGCCCACTGCATGGTGATGGCTGTCTAAGGAAGGCCGTTTGCGAAATAATCTTCTTGTTGATTATAATTTCTTCAAACACGTTTAACAATAATCATCTACATTTGACTTTTCCGCGAACAACGCGCTCGACGAAAAAGCCAAATCTATTTTAAACAATTATGTATCTTTACTGAGTATTATTTATATCTTTAGATATAAAACGAGAGACAAGAATTGCAAGAAAGTAAATTGAAAATTTGGAATAAATTTTTTTTTCAGGAAAATCGGTTTTATATAAATCAGAGAATTAAATAAACTACGAAATATTCTGAAGTTGACAAAGCGTACCGTGTCGCCGGCGGCGATAATGAAATCGGCGACGATTCGGACGGCGTCGTCGCCGTGGATGCCTTCTTTCATCATTGTCCGCAGCAGCCCGTCGCCGTCTAACCGCGTCATTTCCGGTATCAGATTGCACACTTTCTCCAAAATCGTGTCGACAGTCCAGACGAACTTCGTCCACACCGGCAGCTTGAGCCTCTTCGCCAGCTTGGCCGGTATCATCGACAAAGTAGCGGAGTATTCGAAGATCCGGTGCAGCATCAGCGCCAAATCCTTCACTTCGGGACGCATTTGCCGCTCGCAATCCCGCCATCGCGAACCTATTAGAGTCGCAAGCATCGCTGCAACGGAAACGCGTCGATTAGCGTTGTTGGCAGAAAATCGTCAAAAGCAACTTTGTGATGCTGTTTAACCGAAATTTAATATAAAAAACAAATTCAAAAATTCAATATTATATTATTATATTTTAATCGGATTCATTTTACCTTCGATGGACCACATGTAGAGCTGACGCTCTAGATTCGGTATCGTCGAGCCGTCTCGACTGTACTGCTTCCACTTCCTCGTCAGACTCTCGGCGGCTTCCTGGCAAGGCGCGCACATCAGCTTCGCCGAGTCGGGCAGCAGCATCGTCTTATTCAGAATCCTGCGGAAGTGTAGCCATTCGTCTCCATCCCTGAAACACACCCTCTCATTACCAATTTCAGCGCAAGCTACGTCACTTTTATAACAATCGCTTTCACTTTACGATGCATTTTATAAAAATGAAACTTTCGCGAAGTTTCTATTGCATCTAATGTTGAATTTAAATTTCCGAAAAAAATGTACATGAAGAGCAATCCTCGGCGCTGCGCACGGATCTCATTGTAAAGCTTCCAGGATTCCGGCAGAAAGTGCTGCGGCATGGGGCCCTCCAGTCGCAGGAAGATCCTGCGGAACTCCTCGGGCGAGTTGACGAAGACGGCCCGCACCGGTCCGATCTGCTCCCTGTAGATCGGGCCGAGTTCCTGGTGCCGCTTGTCCACGTATTCGTGTAGCTTCTGCGCGCCACCAGCCATCGCCAGAGACAGTATCGTGCCGAAGACAGGAATCCCGCGCGACTCGGGCGGCTCTTTCCTCGCCAAAGTGCCGAAGTCTCGTGCGAGCGACAGAACGGAGCTCCTTGCTGCGCTCCGATCGACAATATTCCTCGAGATAACATTTTTTATATTCAGGATAAAGGATTGCGGACGGTGTCCTGCTGCTCTGCGCTTGGAAAACGACACGTCGAAGTCGCCACGAAGGTTCGCCGACCTCGAAATCCTCTGAAGAGTTCTGCGTGCCGCATGCATCTTTCCAGTGAGTATGCGAGTTGAACTGAGTACGATTGCGGCTTCACTGTCGACAAGAAATTAGATCGTATCAGAACCGGCGGATCGTTCAACGTTTTACAATTCAGCATTTTTTCCCCGAGTCGACGAAAAAGTTGTTTCGGCGCGAAGACGACGCGCATAAATTTCAGCGGACGGAACGAAAAAAAAAAACCTATTGTTTCAACAAAACGGGACGTAACGCTCTCTTTCTGGGTTCATAATTCCGTATATCTCTTTATCGGATCTCGTGTCAATATTTTTTCTCCCGTTTTTTCGTGCTCTGCAATGCATACGTGCGCTAAAAACGCGACATCATCAGGAGATAAAAGGCGCAATTAAGAAAACAGGATGATACGTGGAAGCAAAATACGCGCGCGTGTTTGCTGCAACAAATTAAAAAAACTTTATCTCTCATCGACAAACAGGATTCGTTTTTCACGGCAAACACGAGACACTTCATCCACACGAAATGTTTGCGTATAATATTTTATATTTTAACCCGATGTTTATGTGACATTTAAAATTTAGGAAGAAAATTTTAATTAATAATTTTAATCTAGACGCGATATCTTTGTCGATTTGTTATTCTCAAACGCGATAAATTTGTTTCACGATGATTTAATTAAATTTGTTTTTCTTACAAAATTTAGTTCAAGAAATTTTATTTGATTTTATTTTATTCGATTGACACTCGTGGGTTCGTTATCCAACACTTACTAACAATATAAATATTTACGTACCACCAGTCGGCTGTTCCTTTCATATCTTTGCGTTACTATCGAGCTGTAGCGATACTCTTAAACGTAGAAGCCCGTATTTGAAAACTGACATTGCGCTTTTCCAGCTATCCTCTCGTTTCAACCGGAGTTATCGGATTGCCGAACTCGTCTGACAAGCATTCCGATCCTCACTGCCACGCGTTCAGTTTCCTGATGCCGGGGTCGCGGCAAACCGGGAACGAAGCCGACCGGAAGCGGAGCGGAGCGAAGCTAAGCCGGCCACGAAGACCTTTTGCCTGCGTAGAGTGGATTCCCGAGCTCGCAGCAGGAGATCGGATACCGTTATCTAGAACATGCGCCGCCATTTATCCCTTTTATCGATTAGAATTGTGATCGTGTCCCTTCCACGGGTTTCTATAAAGCAAAAGATCCTCGTTAATGCCACGCAAAGTTATTAAATGAATTTCGCGACAATTCTCGACAGAATTTTTTAGAAAGAAAACATTTTATCGTGATTTCCGCGTAGACTCTTCAAATCGCTTATAAATTTCAATCTTTAAAACCTTGAAAATTTTTTTCTGTGACAAGATATAATTGCAGATATAAAATTTATACCTGTGTTTATTCTCGAAGCGACGAGGAACAATCCTATTCTTCGAGAAGTTTTGAATCGTTCGAATGTGTTTATAAATAATACAGAGAAACATTTGAATATCAAAATAGCCGAAACACTCCGTCGAGAGTGGAGAATGAGAGAGAGCGAGAGAGAGAAAGAGAGAGAAAGAGAGAGAGAGACGTCGATTACACATCGAGATATGCTAAGTGTATTCCGTGTGACTCGGTTCTGAATTTCCAATGTTTTATGTCGCGCCTTTGAGCGTTCGCAGCCAAAGAGTCTTTCCTGTTTTCGGATGCTGCTCGCATTCATTACGGGACGAAACAGGATGCATATTTCCTCAAGCGAAATGGTAAACAAGGTCCCCACCTCCGCCTCTCCCGCTTTATTCCTGCAAAACAAGAAAAAAAAAGGGATCCATATTGTTTTGAATGAATAGCTGTAGAACTGTTGCGCGTAAACAACTGCGACGTCTTTTATCAATAGATTTACGTCCAAAATCTTACTTTTTCCTCATTTTTGTTTCTCAACATTCGTTTTTCTGCCGAAAATTCTTATTCTTCGCAACGAGGCGAGCAAAGTTTGCAAAGTATCGTTGTTTCTTCGGTCGAGTATCGATATCCTCGAGGAATCGATACTCCGCGCTCTCGATTCTCCGTAGCGAAGTGGCGCTTGACCGTTAAAATTTAACAGATCCGAATAGTTGTCGCGCGCTTATCAATCCTGCACCTGTTGTCGCGCTACTCTCCGCTCTACAATCAGCGTTATCAGCAGCAGCAGCAGCATCGATCGTTATCAGGCCGCTCTTTGCTCCTTCTCCAGCCTCGCGCTGCCGGTCGCGCGGCATTCCGTCGCTCGATGCGCGACCCGAAGGTGGCTGGGGACGACGTAGCACCTGCGACTACACCGCGCTGCGCATCAGCTCCGATCTTTCCTGCACTCTCTTACACTCTCTCGCAACACCCCTGCGACGTCCGCCGTTCCCTCTTTCGCCAACGCGCGTCCGCCGCGTGTTTCAAGTGCAGAAAGTACGGGAAAGCGCCGCCGAAAGCGATCAGATCGAACGGATCGTTGGACGGATCCGTCGGATTCCGTCGCGTTTGACAGACGCCGTTCCGCAAGACCGGACTCTCCCCGCCGCGATGGACATCGATGCCGAATCTTGTCTCAAGGACTGGGACGACCTAGCGCAGGACTACAAGGAGCTCGAGGTGAGATTCCATTCTGATTTCATCGCGAAGCGGCGAGTCAGCTGAGTCTCGCGTGGTTCACGAGGTTATGTTTCATCACCTCGCACCATCTCGCATGTCACAGATGCTCCGCCTCGCCGGCGGAGAAAAATCGCGATCTCGGCGAGTTCGCGAGCGTCACGTGATTTTCCTTTGACCTTGACGATCGTCGAAATATGAATCGATCATGCGACTTTGATCATGCATCTTCCTACTAGACATTTTTCTACATCAATTTCTTCCGTGGTCAGCGATAATGATGATGCAGAATTTTTAATAAGGCAGCGGTCAATTATCATTAATATTTATTTTAGTAACAGAACGATAAATATAAATAAAGAAATGAAAAAAGCTGCATACAATATAAGATGTAGAGTAACATATGATAGGAGTATAAATACAAAAAAATATAAGATGTAATTTAAAGATCTCTCCTTTATGAGCAAGAATCTACATTTATAATAACAACATTTAAGATAACAATTTATTCTAACAAACTTTGATTTGTTTGCAGACACTAAATAGAGAGTATCTTGCAAAATTGGAGGAAGTTGGTGAATTGCAGGCAAAATGTGTCAAAGGTCTTTCTCACCAGAGATACCGTATGGCTATAATATCAAAGTCCTTGAAACAGTAAGTGAATAATATAAATTTGAATATTCTAGAAGATTTTTGTATAATAATTATTAAATATGTGAAGTAAGCTTTACGTTTTATTTAAATTATCTGATTAAATCTCTGAAATTAAAACGTTATACGTAATTTTCGCTTATTTGCAGCTTGAACACAAGAGACGCGCGAGAAAAATTGGAGGATTCAATAACAAGGAGAGACCGACAGCTGTATGAGATAGAGCAAACCTTACCGAAACCGAATGGCACGTACCTCAAAATTATCCTGGGAAATGTCAATGTGTCGATATTAAATAAAAGCGATAAGTACGTCACTATCAAACATAGCACATGTTTCATAGTTTCATTTCAAGTGGTATATATACAGGGTGTTTCATAATGTCCGTGCCAACACTCGTGTGCGGGTAGAGTGCGGTAAACTGAATAGAAAAGCCCTTTATCGTTTTGCAATTTTTGCAATAATAATTGAGATATTAATTAAAAAGGATTGACGAATAATTGCGCGTTGCACGCGGCTAGATTATGGGCTGTACACTTTAGGCGTGACAGCAACGAGGATCGCACGGCAACAAAAAATAACGCATGGCAAGAGCAAGAGTAATACATATTATTTTTTGTTGCCGTGTGATCCTCGTTGCTGTCACGCCTAGAGTGTACAGCCCATGGTCTAGCCGCATGCAACGCGCGATTATTCGTCAATCCTTTTTAATTAATATCTCAATTATTATTGCAAAAATTGCAAAATGGTACAGAACTTTTCTATTCAGTTTACCGCATTCTACCCGCACACGAGCGCTGGCACGGACATTATGAAACACCCTGTATATCAATAATTTATTCCAGATTCAAGTACAAAGATGAGTATGAGAAGTTCAAACTTGTTCTATCAGTAATTGGATTTGTACTATCTGTATTAAATCTCTTTACTAATATAAGGTGAGATGTCAATTTATTATTTATGATAAATATGTTATAAATTTATATACATTTATATGCATATACATATTTACATGTATGATACATGTATAAATTTTTATTTACATATTGTAAATAAATTTCATTTTGTTTCTTTGCCCATGTTTCAGAACGTTAGAACTTAGTTTTATGTTTCTTCTCGTTTGGTACTACTGTACGTTAACGATAAGAGAAAGCATACTGAAAGTTAATGGATCAAGGATCAAGGGATGGTGGAGATTTCACCATTTTCTTTCGACAGTAGTGTCCGGTGTCTTGCTAGTGTGGCCAAACACGGGACCGTGGTATGAATTTCGGAGTCAGTTTATGTGGTTCAATGTGTATATCAGTAAGTATTGCGGATATTTTAATAAAATGTAAAAAAAAAATCGCATTTTTTATACGAAAACTTTTGGAAAAGTATTTTAACGTTATGACGAAATAATTCTATAATATCAGTTTTTTAAATAAATATTTGATATAATTAATAATCTAAAAATTTCTAAGCGAATGCTTTATGCAACAGAAATTCTCAAATATTGAAGGATATAAATGTAAAACTTTATACAATGTGCTGTACTATTTTTACGCTCAAAGATTGATGACAACTAAATTTCCATCTAACAATCGTACATTTTTCAGGTGTAGTTCAATACTTGCAATTTCGATATCAACGTGGTGTTCTTTACCGGTTGAAAGCATTAGGCGAGAGAGACAACATGGATATCACTATCGAAGGATTTCATTCTTGGATGTGGCGCGGTCTTTCTTTTTTGCTACCATTTCTCTTCATCGGTTATACATTTCAGTTGTACAACGCTTACGTATTATATGAATTGACATATCACACGGAGGCGACGTGGCACGTGTCCGTTCTCAGCGCCATGTTTCTCATACTCTTTCTGGGCAACATCACCACCACCGTCATGGTGATCCCGCAGAAGCTCGTCAAGGAACGCGTCAAAGACCACCTGTTCGCGTCCAAGTCCGATCGCAGGAGGGATGGTACTGCGCGCAATAAGGAGGATAACAAAAGCGATAAGAACGAGTGAGAAAAGAGATACTTGAGTATTTCCGGCTGACGAATGACTTGACTCAATTACGAGTAGCAGGAAAACAAATCACAGAAACAGAGACTATATTTGTAAAATGGTGTTGGCATTAACATGTAACAAACAATATTTTGCTCACTGTTGAGCGAAAGTGTATTAATCACAAACATACATACACATACACACACACCGCACGAGTGACTTCAACACAAACGATGGATTTCGCATATCATCGTCGACTTTGTTCTTGTATAAAGTCCGCTGTCGATTGTTCTCAAGAGAACAACTTTTTGCAACTCTTTCGGAAGCAGTTCTGGTGTAAATGAAACCGATCGTAATAACAGATTCCTCGGTAATTCTGTCGAAACAATTTTTTTAGAAAGACAAATATTGCACAATAAGACTACTCTTCTGTTATTTAAAAAAAAAATTTAAAGATACCTGTAAGTCTCGAATAAAGAAACTATTGAAACGAATTTCACATGAAATTAACCGGAAATTAGCTTTATTTTTCAGCTTTCGTCTTCCTCTTCTGGGGGGGGGGGGAAAGACAAACTTCTCTTATCTTTATTAATGAAAAATTATTTTAGCATCGCCAAAAGCTTCGTCGGAGAAAAATCGATGCCAGACTGATCCTGCATACGATTTCCGTTCGGATTTAACGCATGCATTTATTTTTGATCGATATAGCCGGGTTGCTACATGCAAATATCGGCGTGAATCCGCGTTGAATAAAGGATCCGGCAGATCTATTCGCGGGGAACTTGTTTGTATATACACACACATACACACACATTCACAATACAGGCTGTTACGTTTAAATTTGTCAAAACACATGCGCACATGCTGTAAATTATGCGTAGCAGTTCTACACAAACACCGCGCCGCTTTTCTGCAAGCCATCGCGCGAAGAGCACGAAATTCGTATATAGTTATTACTTTACTCTGTATTCCTCGAGACGCACGTATGTAAATAACATGCTGAATCGCCTAATTCTACAACGAGCAATCGAAAGTCGCTTACGCACCGAAGTTGCTAATTGTTTTTCTTTCGCATTTCTGTTTCAACGGCGTGGCACGTGAGCGCGAAAACGCGTCGTCGAGATTTCGCGAATGTACATTTTATTGTATATGTAATATATAATGGTGAGAGATAGTAAAACTCATATATATATACATATATACACGTATGCCTATAGCATGTATTAATCACCCCATGAGAATTGTAGAATTAATGAATGCCTTTTTATTCCCTCTCCGAGTTGTTGTGATGAAAGTTGTAGTGATTATTCATTAGTGCATTTAAGAATTATTTATCGTGACTTTTTATAGATATATTCTCGAGCCATTAACAGTTTATTGTAGTTAATGTTACACATTGTTTCAACGAAAGTTCGGTAAAATCCAAGTGGGTCTGTGCGCCAGGAGATTCGATTGAAAAAGGTATCATTCCTTCCTTTTTTCCAAATAAATACTCGATCTTCTAACGATGCTGCATTCTTTTCATCCTCGCGATCGAAGGATAAAAAATTTATTAACAAGGTATATCAATTTGCAGGTACAACTGGACGGGAAATGCTTGACGGAGCGATATAAGTGTTAGCCGGCGCCAATTATGTGTCGTCATAGCTAGACGGCTACGTCACACTGTGTAGTCTAGCCGCTGCAAATTGTGACGCTGCACTAACTCGTCCAGTGCCTCCGTCAACGCCGTCCGCGTGAGCTGACACGGCGAATTATTTTCTACGCGGTGCATTTGTCTCAGTTAGCGCGCATCCGGAGGCCAAGATGGCATGGATGATGAATTGGGCCCTGCTGATAGCGATAATTATTCCAACTGTCGGTGGCTCGATCATCGGCGAGGTCTTCGTGAAGAAAAATATGGCCTGGTACGAGGTGAGAATCGTGCGTGACGCGCCGGCACGTCACGACGTGATTGTTTCGCGGTGCGGCAAAGATGAAAGCGCCAAACGTCTCTTTGCGCGCTTGTTTTGCCGCTGTAATTGTAAATGATAAATGTTTAGGCGAAGGTCATTTTTAATGAGCAGAATCGATGCGCGAACAATCGCGAGGAGCTGCGTTATTCGAATCCTTCAATTTATTTTCGATTTTTGCTTTAATATGACAAATGAGGATCTGCCTATAAAGCGTTACGTTTTCAATACCGCAGTAATTATATCGTTCCCATACAGCACACAAAGATTGCATACATTGCATCAATCTTTCATCGCAGTGTTGCAATATTGCAAATTCACTGCAAAATGTTGTTGCATCATTGCTGTGGGATTGCAGCAACGTTAAAATGTCCGCTTTTAGGAAGATTGTAATGAAATATTACAGTAATATTGCAATGTAATGAATTTGCAATAATGCATTGTTATTGCAATCTTAGAATAATGTTGCATATATTTTTATTTATTCGGACATTTATCTGTCCGATTTTTGAACAATTAGTTCAATATCTGAATTCCCTGTGTTGAGGTCGTATAAGAAAAATTAAACTGATAAAAATAATTACTATGTCTTTAATCTTATTAGCCACTCTTTGCAAATTTCATATAATTATCATGACTAAAACTTAAATACGAGATAGATTTTGCAACGCGCGTCGCATAGCGGTAAACGAACGAACTAGCGATTACCGAATATTGCTATTGCAATGTTATTGGAATGTTGCTGTCACATTCTCATGAAATATTACAATTACAGATTGCAATAATGTCTCAACAATATTACATTGCAACTTGCAAGATTGTAACATTGCTACAATGTAATTGCAATGTTCTGTGCTGTATGGGTTGTTTATGATTACGTGTAATTATATTTGTTTATAATTTATAATTACAATTATAGCTGTGTTGTCTTATATAATAATTATATATATTATTTATATTTATAAATATTTATAACTTTGTATTATTTATATATAATGATAAATATAATTTCTCTAGCAATCGTAATTATAAAATAGCTTAAAGAGTTGCACGCTATTTATAATTATAATCACAATTATATATTCACTCAGGCGCAAATTCCAGAAAACGAAACGAAAGAGAGAGTGAGAGGGAGAAGGGAGAGGGAGAGAGATAAACAGACTTATCTAAGAATCTACTTCTAATCATTATCGCGAATAATCATAGCTGCAAATTTAACCGCTTATCAATTTCTGTTTGTTTCTTCCGGAAAAAAAAAACTCATAGTTGCAAGTAATCGCTTGCTCAACGAACGCAAACGAATCACAGATTATATTCCTTATTTTCGTTCGGTGAACGACTGAACCGTTTATAATGTTGAAATTAACCAGCCTACGTATTTTTCAATGTTTTTTTTCTGAAAATTTTCCTGCAATTAAATTAATGGATTTAAAATGTCTTTCCTATTTTTCCTCTCAAACAATTACGCTCGATAACGCAAGGGGTGATACTGATACGGCTAATATTTTAGTACGAGGTATTTTTATTTTGGTTACACAAGAAAGAGAGAGAGATAGAGCGAGGACTTAAGTAAACCGTGAGAGTAACTAAGATCTGTACCTAATATCGATCGCGGAAATGCCCAAGTGTTTACACTAAATTACACCTTATCGCTAATGATATAATAACATGTAATATTCCTTTCTTGTATGTATAAGATAATATCATAGGATGTTTCGTCGCGCCTAACTCGGTATACTCTCATCCTAGTCGCTGAAAAAACCTAAGTACAATCCACCGTTCGCGTTCGTATGGACCGCTCTCTACTGTATGATGGGCCACGCGTCCTACTTAGTGTGGCGGGACGGGGGTGGCTTCGAGGGGGCGGTTCTACCCCTCAGCGTTTATGGCGTCAATCTCGCCCTCAACTGGCTGTGGACGCCGCTTTTCTTCGGGATGCACCGACTAAAATGGGTATACACGCGCGCGCGCATCTAAAGATTTAGGACCGTTCGAGTTTTCGTAATAATAACTTTCACATTACCGGCTTTGGAAAATGGTGTACTTAAAATAGATCTCTTCGACGCCACTTAAGAATAATCCCTAAAAACGATCAATAAGACTAGATTTGGAGTTTCGGACAATCACGACGCTTTTCTAAAGAAATTCACATTTCTAAAAAATGGAGATTGCGCGCATCGTAAAGCTAATAGTTGCAAATAGTTTTGTGTAACGCACAATTTCCAGTTTTGGAACTGCGATAATATATTTAATCACTTGCAGCAACGACCGATTCGGCGACCGCGGAATTTCGCAACAGATTAACGGCGCTCGTGTTGTTATACGGATTTTTATGAATGAGTTTCTTGCCGAGCTAAACGCAAGTCGGCTTGTGCGCAACACGTTGCTGCCGAGTCCGACGTGGAGAAGTTATCACGTTGCATAGCACGTTGTTCTAGCGCGAGTGGTTAAAGCGGTTAGGAAAAAATCTTATCGATCTCTGCGAATCGCTCGAACGGCCCCATTTGCCGGATGCGGTTTCGAATTTAAAGCAAACTTGAGTCACTTCCGGAGCGATTGAATTCAACTAGTGTTTTCTGAACTTCATGAGCGAGATTCTCGCAAGCTGAGTTTCGAAAACGAGAAGTCGAATGTGTGTTTTGCAGATTTCAATCACTCTCGCATTAATTCGGAAGCGCGGTGTCAAGTCACCAATTGCTCTTGGAGCGACTCAAATTCGCTTGAATGAGAAAGAAAGGCGCATTAAATAACCGTTCTACATTCGCAAGCAGAGTCTCTACGAAGTTGTGATGTTGGACGCCAGCACGGCCGCGCTCGGGATCGTGTTTTATCCAGTCAATTCCGTCGCTGGTTACATTATCATTCCCTACTTCGTATGGGTCTGTTACGCTACGCTGCTTAACTATGCCATTTACCGAAACAACAAAGATCTCCCCGAGAAGATCAAGAATGACAACTAAATGAGATGGAGAACGTCGCCCGTAAACGTCCGCTGAGAAACTCAGCATCTCGTGTCAGCGCAGATGTACTTTGTAGAATCAAGTTTTTGGTATCTGATTTGAGCATACATTGCGTGAAAATATACTGATAGACATTTGCCGAAAGAAAATCGAAGAAAGCAAAGAGAAGTATCGCTGCAAAATTTTTCATCAAAATCTATCGCTTCTTTTTACTTAATATTATTGTGTTAAATATTTTATAGCAAAGTTTTTTTCAATATCAAAAAAGATGGCGTGCGTACAAATAATTGAAAGACTTCGATCAACTATTTTTTTTCCTCGGCATTTTCTTAAAGAGCGAGAAAGGGACAGAGAGCGCTGGTTTCTTGCTGCTTCATTTTTGTACAATTATTGTTGTCAACTATTCACGATCGTCCGACGAGAACACGCCTTCCATTGAATGCACAACGCCGTTGGTATACAGCTTTATTGATCGATGTACGAAATAAAGATTAGTTGATCAACCACGTGTACGTACATTATACAGTGTACAAGTACAATACCTTAATCGCGCTAAGTTTTAATAAATCATATATAAAGAAACGTGGGGAAAGTGGCGTGGGAGGGAGGGTAGGAGACTTTCACTTTCTTTATCGTCTATTCGTCTTTCTTATACTCTATTCCGCGCGTGTGGTAACTACGGAGCTCTCTTCCGTTTGCGTAAAATTTGGGCAAAATAAAGTCGGCCGCGAGAATTTTCAACCCCGCCTTGAAAAAGCTGATGTGGAAACCGTTGCGTCGTTCTGGAGATTCTTCAATCTTGCCTTTTGTACAGAATAGGGCAGAGTATATTACACAAAAGAGATATCGAGTACGATGATAGGGGCGGCTGCTCGGGCGGGACTCGTTCCCGGCGGCCGTCACCGCCGCACTCGGCTGCCGTGTTTTACAAGCGCTACGTGGGCTCGGTTGCGTAGATATAGCCTTGCTGCTGCAACACGTACAGCCGCTTTTCCACGGCCTCTTTGTCTGAAATTATCAGCGAAATTTCAGTGAAGAACAAATCGAGAAAGCAGATTCGCGGAATATATTTTAGAAAAAAAGAAACGAAAAGGAACAACATATACTGTTATGTATAATAGATATAAATAAAGTTAGAGAATTAAATTTCAAAAATTTGTCAATAAGATTTCAAATAAAATTGAAGCAAAATTTCAAATCGTGGAAGCGTTTCATGCTTTTGGTTGAATAATTTTTCAAATTTCTTTCGGAAACAGATTTGACCAGAATAAATCGTAAGCATGGAAATAGTACATACATTTGATAAGCAGAGCTCGGTTCTGGCTGTGGCTGACATGCTGCGCTAGCGAGTGCAATAATATCAGTGCCGTGTGATAACGCTGGAAACATTCGCCGCCTTTTCCGAATAGCTCGTCCAACGCCGCTGATTGACACTGCAAAAATAATTGGATTAAATATCAAGTTAACTATCAACGGCGTAAAGCTACTATATACGAGGGCTGTATGATAAGTACCCGTGTTTAACGACAGAAAGCATCATTGACTCAAAGTCTGTATACTATCGTTTAACGTCATCTTCTAAACGACGCCAGTCAAAATTTCAAACAGATTTATCGAGTAGTTTTGTTTTGACATCTGTTGAAAGTGGACAAGGTTGTGTTTGTTTGCAACCATGGAAAAAGAGCAATATCGGTCAGTGATTCGATTCCTTTTTTTGGATGGGAAGACGTGTGAGGAAATCAAAGTGAAGTTGCATATCGTTTATAAGGACGATGCACCTTCGATGACTACCATCAGATATTGGTTCAATGAATTTAAGCGTGGCCGAACATCCGTTTTTGATGAAGAGCGCCCAGGTCGTCCGATTGAGGTGACTACGGAGGATATGGTTAACAAAATCCATGATATCGTGTTAGCAGACCGCCGGGTGAAGATCAGAGAGATTGCTGACATTGTAAACATCTCAATTAAACGCGTACAAAATATTCTACACGAAAAATTGGGCATGAGGAAGCTATCGGTGAGATGGGTGCCGCGTTTGCTCACAGTGGAACAAAACGGAATCGCATGACAACTTCGAAGCACTGTTTGGACATGTTTAAGCGCAATCCGAAAGAGTTTCTGCAGCGTTTCGTCACTGTTGACGAAACATGGATCCATTACTACATGCCAGAAACGAAAGAACAGTCAAAACAGTGGATTTCACCTGCTCCAAAGAAGGCAAAAACGGTTCCATCGGCCGGAAAGATCATGGCCACCGTTTTTTGGGATTCGCGAGGCATCATTTTCACCGACTATTTGGAGAAGGAAAGGACAATCACGGGGCAATACTATGCCGATTTATTGGGCCGATTCGACGCTGAATTGAAAAGAAAACGGCC